TACAAGGAACGCCGTCTTCCACGAAACTAATCGGAGATCCACAGTCGCCAAAGGTTCAAAGGGGGCCCTCATAAGGGCCTGTAGAACTACAGAAAGGCTCCACGTGGGCATAACCGGTCTAATCAATGGATTGAGGTTATACAGTCCTTTCAAAAATCTCTTTAGAATAGGATGAGAAAACAGGGATGATCCATCGACTAAGCCACGGTAGTAGGCTATTGCGGCCATATACACTTTAATAGAAGACGGCTTCAGTCCGGAGTGATGCAACTCCAGAAGGAACTGAAGAATTTGATCAATTGATGAGACAAGCGGGGAGAACAAATGAGACTCGGCGAAGGCGGAAAAACGCTTCCATTTAGCTGTATATGACTTTCTTGTGGACGGCTTTAGAGCAGCGTCGATAATATGCTGAATCTCAGGGTGCAAGAGCATTGGGTTCGAATCCGACGGGGTTTGAGCCGAACCCGATGGTATAGAGAGATTGTGGCAGTGAGAAGCACCCGCATAGTTGGACTCGAGAATCGGGGCCGAAGCAGTCGAAGTGATCGTTGAAACCGATGAATTAATAGAAGCTGTAGGATTTGAGGCTCTTGAATCCGTCGCTGGCCCCAATCGAAGGTTAATCATCGAATTCGCCACGCTGTCAGATTCAATGAGAGCAAATCCGGATGACGAAGTGTGCCGTCCATTTGCGTTATAAGATACGGAAGTGACGGAAGATGAAGAAACTCCCCGCGGGAGATGTCGAGCAGTTTCGCAAACCACGGTTGGCGTGGCCACCAGGGGGCAACTAGTATCCCCGATGCACGGTCGCTCACTATCTTCGCTATGACCCTCATCAGAAGAGGGATCGGAGGGAAAGCATAAAAGTTGATGTTGTCCCAAGGGATCATGAATGCGTCCCCTAGGGATGCTTGTCCGATTCCCGCTCTTGAGCAGTAAGTCTCGCACACCCTGTTCTGTTGGGTAGCGAATAGGTCCACATCGGGAAACCCCCAGCGCCTGAACAGGTGGTTGCGCGTGCGAGGATCCAGTTCCCACTCGTGTGAAGTGAGGATGTGCCTGCTGAGGAGATCCGCATGTACGTTGTCTGTGCCTGCCAGATGAACGGCTATCAGAGTGATGTGTCTCTGAATGCACCAGTCCCAAATCGTCATAGAAAGCCTGACTAAGGTCGGTGACTTCGTCCCTCCTTGTTTGTTCAGATAAAAAACGGTCGCTATATTGTCCGAAGTTATCTGAACGATCCGATGACGAATGAGGTCTTCGAAAGAACGAAGGGCTTTGAAGACTGCCAGCAGCTCTAGGAAGTTGATATGATTCGTGGATTCTAGGCGAGTCCACGTTCCCTGGGTAGACAGGCCAGAGCAGATCGCCCCCCATCCTAGGAGAGATGCATCGGTACCGAGAGTTACCGAAGGGGGTTGCGGCCTGAAGGGAACTCCCACCACGAGATTGGTCGGCTTTAGCCACCAGCACAGGGAGTGGAGCACGGAAGACGGGATCCGAATTCGTTTCGACTGTGAGTCTCTTTGCGGATGATACACTTTGTTGAAAAGTAATTGCAGTGGGCGAAGCCGAAGTCTGGCATATGGAACTACGGCAACTGTGGAGGCCATATGCCCCAGGACCCTCTGGATGGATCTCGCCGTAACCGTTCCCTCTCGTCGAATTCGATGGATATGGCGAGCGAGAGTCTGTTGCCTGTCCTGAGGAAGGAAGGCTTTTTCCAACGTCGAATCTAGGCGAGCTCCAATGAAGGTGATCGTCTGTGTCGGAAGAAGAGAAGATTTTTCTGTATTAATACGTAGACCCAGACTATCTAGTAAGGCACGGGTTGTATGGATGGTGTCTAGTAGTCCTTCTCTGGATTGCGAGACTAGCAGCCAGTCATCAAGGTACGGGTAAACTTGTATGCCCTGAAGGCGTAGGAAGGCACAGACAGGAGCCACACATTTGGTAAAAATTCTCGGAGCTGAAGCCAGTCCGAAGGGTAAAACTTTAAACTCATAAAGTTGGTTTGCAACAGCAAAACGAAGGAAACGCCGGTAATTTGGATGAATTGAAATATGAAAGTAGGCGTCCTTCAGGTCCAGTGAGGCGAACCAATCCCCTCTCCTTAACAACGGCAAGATGTTCTGAAGGGTGGTCATACGGAACTTCCTCGGTATAATAAACTTATTCAAGTCCCGTAAATCCAAAATCGGACGTAGACCGCCGTCCCGCTTGGGGACTGTAAAGTATCTGGAATAGAATCCGTGGAGTCCGTCAGATGGGAATACTTGACGAATCGCTCCTTTAAGGAGAAGTTGATGTATTTCGTCGAGAAGTACCGGCGAACATGAAGTGGACCGGATTGGACTCGATGGAGGGATGATGTCGAATTCTATTCGATAGCCGTATTGAACGATGGACAATACCCACCGGTCAGATGTGATGGACTCCCAAATGGGGAGTCGGCTTTGGAGCCGGTCCCCAGATGAGAGGGGGGTGGGTATTAAAGGAGCGTGAGGAGTGGTTCGCCAGTCCCGTCAGCGCTGTCTCCGGTCGTCGAAACGACGGCGGCCCTGTTGGAAGCGCTGCTGGGGCGGAGGACGGCAACGCTGCTGTTGTTGCTGCTGGCGAGGTTGTGGCAGCTGTCTCTGTTGGTATGGCTGCCTGTAGGATGGCCGATTCCAGGACCACTTACGTCTGGTATGTGACTGGATCTCCATCCTGTGCGCCGTCATTCTTGACTCATGTAGCTTCTTGAGTTTATGGTCGGTGCGCGAATGGAAGAGTCCCGAGCCGTCAAAGGGCATCTCTTCTATTCGCCGCTTCGTTTCCTCCGGGAAATTACAACTCCGAAGCCATGCGTGTCTCCGAAGGGAAACGGCACCGACCAAGGCCCGGGAGTCAGTGTCCACGTGATGACGTGCCGTAGACAACTGCTGCACCGCGACCTGCATGGCTTCCTTAATCAGGACCTTCGCAAGGTCACCCTGGTGGTTCGGGAGGGTGGAGGCGACGTTGTGGAGGCGTTGCATAATAAAATATTGATAGCGCGCCAACGTCGCCTCATAGTTAGAAATGCGAAGTCCTAAGCCCGAGGCAGCATAGACCCGTCTGGCCAGGGAATCTATTTTCCGGCCCTCCTTATCCCTCGGCGCCGTATGTCCCCTCGCCTCCCTGCCTTGCGAGGATTCGACGACCGCCGAGTTTGGTTTTGGGTGCTTTAATAGCAAGGGAATGTCTTCTTCCCTGACCCTGTACATAGATTCATATCTACTGGACGTCGGCTGGGGATGTGAAGGCAGGTCCCAGGGCTGCGTCATCGCCTGCCGCAGAGTAGTTATAAGTGGCAGGACGATAGAAGTTGATTGCTCCCCGCGGACGACGTCGTAGAACTTATCCGTCGACGGTCCCGGGCGCTGGGCAGCGTCAATGTCCAGGGACTGGACAAGCCTCGACATCAGCTCCGCGAAGGAGACGTGTGACTCATCGGGTGACGCAGGATCCTGGGATGTCACCACGACGTCCGGAGAAGTTGAGTCTACGTCAGAGTCATCCGAATCAGCACCATAATATGGCGGGGCAGAAGATGACGACTCCGCCGGTGATAAGGAGCGGCTGCTTCTGCTTCACGGGGATCGAGGCGGCACCCTCCTCAAATCCACAGCCCGGGGCGGAGGTGAGGATCGCGCTCTGGGAGCAGGGTAGTATCCCACAGAGAGCGGGTCTCCCCAAGGTTGGTAGTAGGGACGACACCAACTTTCCGGGCGTTGTTCTACTGAGCGGCTCCTCTGATTCCCTGGTGGGGACAGGCCAGCTTCTGTCTCCAATGTCACCGCGGGCATCGGTGTCGGTGACCTCGCTCTGGGAGGGGAGTCCTGAATTTCCCCGTCCGAGATAGACCCCCGTAGAATTGGAAGGGATGCTGGCGGGAGGTCAACCACACGTCGGGGAGACCCCTGAGGGGTGACCCGCATAGCCTCTTGGAGGATCAGTTCGGGCGGGGTCGGTATCGTAACCGCCACCAGTACCGAAGGGCCTGTCGGTTCCGAGTCCCGATCTTGGGAACGATCCGTAGGCTTAGCCTTCTTTGGAGGCTTAGAGGCCTTTTCCTTCCTGGCCTTCTTATGGCCTGCCGGCTTGTCTTCAGCATGTTTGCGCTTCTCATGCCTCTTTTTTGGTGAGGCAGAGGGGGCCAGCGAAGCGGACGCGCCTTCATCCGAAGGGCGTGAAGGAGGAGCCACAGAAGCGGAGCCCGGTTTTGGGGTAGGGATGAGCGGGTCTGATTGCATCAGAGCCCTATCCCAAAGGAGCCTCCGAAGCCGGTTTTCGCGGTTCTTCCTAGCCTGTTTAGAGAAGGCTAGGCAGTGAACACACTTATCCGTCCTATGCCCTTCCCCAAGGCAGAGGAGGCATAGGTCGTGCGGATCGGTCGGTGCCATCTTTGACCCGCAATCAGCACATTTGCGGAAAGCCGCCCGCTGCGCCATCGCAGAAAGAGGAAGAAAAGAGAGATAGTGCAGAGGGTAAGTATATATTTTTTTGATTTTTTTTTTTTTTAAATCGAAGAAGTGAGAGAGAACTACACAACGGGAAAAACGAAGTAACGGGAAAGTAGTTTAAGGGCAATATATATATAGAGAGAACCAGAATGGCCAAAGCGAAGGACGAAAGCGGCGCGAGGCACAGCGAACGGCGGTCGCAAAGACTGAACAAATGGCGGACGCTCCGCTCTTTATAGCCTGTGGGGGAGGGGAGCGGAGCTTCCCGCCAAAAACCGTTAGCTTTCAATCTTCCGGCCAAAGGCACTGCGCAGGCGCAGCACCCATATGTGTGATGCACAGAGGCCACGACGAAGAACTAAAACTTGTATCTTACTACAAAGATAGCGATGATATGTTTTTTTATCAGGAAACTAGAATGACCAAGAGAACAAAATTTTGTAATAGTAGCTGATCCTTTAAGGTCAGTCCACATCTGTGCTAAACACCAACTCAGTGACTTACCCTGAATGCAGTTCCTTCCTCTATTATAGTAGGCAGCTGAGAAAGACATATATCCACAGCAAGGTCCCAAGCTTGCCTGGGGGAAGATAGATTATGGCAGCATTAGAAGTTTAACATAATTGACTGTAGAAATAGATGTATGATACCAGACGAACTCACTTTGCCCCCTGTACTTCATTGCTATATGAAAGTAAAATAAGGAACAGTAATAAACCTTAGCTTAGCATTTTCTTCCTTATAGGTGTTTACGAATTATTCTTCACCACTTAAATGCTTCTCAGAATAGCTATCAATTTCAAAACAAATGATTTTAAACAACTCATCACATCAGGACATTAATACAGAACATTAAGAATAGCTATTGATGTTAAAAACAATTAAATCTCCAAGCCAGTAAGATAAAACCTAGATTAATCCATCCAATGGGCTGGAGCAAACAAAAGTGGCTTTTGCTAGGCAATGAAAAGATAAAAAGCTGGAGTGAAATTAATCTCTCTGGAGACTGAATTTCAAAGATAGGGTGCCATTATTGAAAAGTTCCTACCTCTTTACCACCTGAAATATTCCAAAGGTCCAAACAGGTTTGTGTAGGAGCACATAGTTCTTGAGGTATATAATAAAGAAGAAAGTGCCCCAGAATAGATGGACACTGATTCTTTGTATTTTAAATACTGTAACTATTGCTCTGCCTTTTTAATGTTTATTAATAACAAATGCTTCACAAAGAACATGTTATCTTTTCAGGTTAGGATCCACTTTGTATATGCTTTAGTTTTATGATCATTTTTGAAGTAACATGCTGTTTTCATTGTCCTCTTAATAGCCACCACTCCAAGTTTAACGTCATTCCTAAGGTACTGAACTCATCCTAAAGAAGAATAATTTTCACTCTGGTAGGCTTTACAGTCATCTTATCAATAATCAGAAATATTCTTGGACCCTTCTGAAAGTTGCACTTACAGATGGGGACTGGACTATATCAAGGCGTTTCTGCATTCTTTAGCTAAGACATTCAAATGGAGACTTGATTCTTTAACATGCTGATTCTTACACTGATATGAAATGTGCTTCTCAGTGGCTCACAAGATTACTATGAAACTAAGATGCTGAAGGTCTTTCCTAGGGCAGAGATTAACTTTTACTACCCTTTGAAGCAGCTATACTAATTGTACAGATTGAAGGTAAAAAGGAATAATGGCTCAAAGTAAACAGGTAAGAACATGCAGTGTCAATAGCCTTTGACAGAAGCACCAGCCATACCAGCAGGAAAATCCCTTAAAGCCCTCTGAAATCCATCTACCTCCGTGGGCAGGTCCCCCACCCTTGCATGTGGAGAAATGCCACTGGGAGTCTAAATCTCAGTAGAAAGTGATCCAACCATGGTAACAAAGTAGATGTTAATTCCCTCACTTTCAGATCACTGTTCTTCTGCCTTCTCAAGAAAACCAAATCAAGACTTTGTCCTCTTAATGTTTGTCGGGCTGATGGCATGTTGAGACATCCACCTGGTTGTCATGGGACCCAAGAAGCCCTAAGTCTTCCCAGATTCAGCAGCCTTGGCATAAAAGTTGAGATCCCCAAGAACCATCATTTTAGGAGTTTTCAACACTATATCTAAGACTACCTCCATCGGCTCAGACAGGGAGTCTGAAGGGTAGCAGTGCACCAGCAGAATCCCTGATCTGTCTCTGCTAACCAACATAAAATACAGTGGCTTAATTATTGATTTTAGATAGTATTATAACTCCACTTTAGTGTACAAGCTGGGGATGGGACAGAAGAAATGCAATCAATCTCTCTCTCTCTCTCTCTCTCTCTCTCTCTCTCTCACACACACACACACACACACACACACACACACTTATATCCCACCTTTCTCTGATTGTGGCTGCCTGTGGTTCATGGGTGGTCTTCCCCTCCAGGGGCAGACCAGCTCCAGATCTGCTTAGCTTCTATGTGGTAGATGTCTTATGTGCCTTCAACCAAAAGATGGCCTAATAGATGACCACTCCTACCTCTCTGTGGGACTTTGCCCCAGTCCATGGAAAGTTCTAGTATATGATACCTATTCTGAATCAGGGAAGGAAGCTGTAGAGTTAGGCCCAGCTATGGGAAGTCAAAAACCTGAGAACTCAGTTCTACCAGGCCTTTCACTGCCTGACAAGCAGGGAGGAGTTGAGATGCGGAATGCTGATATGGCTTATCTTTCATAGCTGGGAGATCTGACCTTGATGGAATCACCAGCTTCTCAACCAGGGACATCTTCCCTGGGATCAGGGAAGCAGGAGGTCTCTGTGGGAGAGGGTGTAGTGCATCAGCAACTAAAAAAGGTGGGGCAGAGGTGTCCAGTGAGGCATAGCAACTGGTTGAAAGCCAGGTTTCCCTGCTAGGACTGAACATCCAAAAGCAGCCACTCTTTTGTATTTGACAGAGGAATCAGGAGTAGACTTTTGCTGGAAATGATGCACTGCTATCCTGGAACTAATCACTGCTAACCAGTTCCTGCTTTCTTTGTAACTGTAAACTCACTGAGGCCTATTCTGTGTGGCAAGGAAAGCTGGGTGTGATGTTATGATGCTCATGAACTGATTCTTGTCAAAGAATTATGTTGTAATCTGTTCACTGTGGATCTTTACTGTGGGACACCAAAGGCTTACAGAAAATTACTGGGATCACCTCAATAAAAGGTTTTATTGAGGCTTCTGCCTCATCTCTGGGAAGTTAGGTTTTGTTGGGAATAAAAGGGACAGTTATTTTTGGCACATGTTCCAAGGTCAGGCAGATTTGGACTCCTCAGATGAGGAGGGGCCCTGGGAATCAGAATCCTCAGATGTTGAAAAGGAAGAAATGGAGGGACTTATCTCAATGCTCCCCCCCTTGGGTGTTCAGGAAGACATTGAGAATAGTTAGGATTTACAACTGCAGGGAGGGGGTGTGGGAGAACTCCTGCAGCAGCAGAGTATGGTATGACTCTTGACCCCATGTCATGATGTCAGCTAGAGTGGCAACAGACAGAGAAGAGGCTTTCCCTCATCCAAAAGGCCCCTTTAAGAGGAAGAAGGCCCAAGAGTACTCAAAAGGGGTGTTCGCAAAAGTAGATGGTAGACTGATTTCAACAACCTGCTCTGTGCATGCTCAGAGACTCATTCTTTGTTGGTTGTGCTTACTGGAAATGCACTGGAGAATAAAGAACTTTTGATAAGGAACAGTCTGTTGTTTTGAAAGTGCCAAGGAAGAAACCTAACTTACAACAGGTTTCAACACCTACTTCATCTTGGGACATGGACATAACATGCATTTATAATCAAAGCTCCCCCTCCCTTCATACTGTCCTCTCCCAACCACCCTGCCTACCAAACCTGCTTTTTGTGGCATCATCCCTGATAAAATCTCAAAAGCTACCATTTTTGTGTGTAATCTGTTGGATGGCCTAGTAAAGGTCTTACATGTATATGAATTCTGAAATAACCAATATTCTCCCCTGCCTACAAATATATTTTTATAACTACTGTTTCTCTGAAAATATCTCACCATTCAAATTCTCTTTTCCTCCAGCTGTCCAGGTTAAGAGACATCAGAGTTCTTGTTTTGTCTGACTACCCAACTACAGACACAGTGAGGCTGAGCAAAACAGACTGCTCAGCACTATGGACTCAAGGAAACAAAATGGTAAAATACTTTGTTTAATGCTAGGCCTGCATATTTCAATTTAAAGTTAAATCAATAATGTTGAAAAGAAAACAGGTAAATAGGGGATATTTCTTCTATTTTGCTAAAATGAATTCAGAACTGATTCAAAGGCTACACACTGAAGATATTATCTATAACTTTCCCTCTTATAATACAACCCTGAGCCTAGGGAAAGCCAAGGCTCACTTGGAGATGGGAGACCACACAGCCTAGCAGTTGTGCAACAATACCAGTCAAAATCATGAATTAGAGCAACTGCTCAGAGCAACCGCCACAGCTGCCCACATGCAAATAAATGTGACATCATGGAACTACAGCTCCTTTTGTGGACTTTAATAGAAGTCTGGTGGTTTAAGGGTGTGCTTTCTTAGAAGGAAGTTCAGAAATGCTTGGGTGCATGCATGCATCCCTCTGATTCTTGGCCATCGTTTCAATTAAGATATACCCACAAAGCAGAAACTAACAGCACAGGCACTATCCACCATGCTTTTTGCCATTTAGGTTTGATAACCATCTTTTGTCTATCAGCAAAGATACATTTAACAACAGTGAACATGCCTGTCTGTAAGGGCATGTGCAGAAACAATGCATCTGTCTTTCCCCATTCCAGCCCAATTGCTGTGTGTTTCATTACAAAATGTTAAAGCCAGATACTAAATGTTACAGAGATGGTGAGTCAGCAACACTTTCAGAAAGCTTTTCCTTTATGGAATGGAGGCTGGATGTTGCATATTCTAAAAGCACTGGCTTGTCTATGACCCATGGAAAGAAAATTGGCTAAGGAGTTTCTAAACTCCTTTATATATAGCTAGAGTAAATCAGCTATAAGAAGATAGTAGAGCTCCAAATCTTTTGGATTTCAACTCCCAGAAGTCCCTGCTGGCATAGCCAACAATTGAGAATGCTGAGAGATGAAGTCCAAAACACATGGAAAACTATTTTCAGTCCACCCCTGCAGTAGATCCACAGAATAAAAGGAAGCCTTTCAAAACTCTCACTGTCTTTTCTACTGGTATACAGCATAAAGATTCTTCATTTGATTACTTCTGCTTCACATCCCATGGCTCCTTCAGTAACAACCTTCCTCTTTACAATAGGCTGCCTATATAATTATGAGGTAATCAGGGGATAATCAAAACAGCTTCACAGCAAAAGCAATAAATGGCTCCCAGATGCTTAATAAATGCCCAGGATGCAAGCAAAATGGTTACAGAGAGCAGTTGTGGGAAATTATTTATTCCCGATAGTGACAAGAGGTAAAGTCAGTTATTACAATTAAATCTATATCCTATTTCTAAACTCAGCTTACCGTGCAGACACGCTATTAAAACATTTAGCCACATTGCAGAGCCATGCTTTATGCTATTTTTGGACACTTTCCACTCT